TTTATAGATATCTCCAAAGTTTTGAGGACTTTTACCGTAAGTTGGGGTGCACAATGGTGAGCAATCCACGTGGTTCAAGGACGAGGCACTACTCGGGTAGAAGCTTGATCAGGGACCGTGACCGAACGCCCAGGGCTTCCAAGAAAAAAGATAATGACAGCTGTGAGTCAACAGAAGATGAGAATGAGAAAAAGGAGGAAGAGGAGGAGGGCAAGAAAGGAGAGAAAAGAAAAGGGGAGAAGGATGAGAGCAAGAAAGAGTCTGAGAAGAAGGAGCCAGAAAAGAAGGAAAGTGATAAGAAAGACAATGAAAAGAAGAAGGAAGACTCAAAAAGTTCTAGGTATGTGTTCTCACAGATTGGAATGTAAATAACCTTGTCTTACATCTAAAAATGTTTTTTTTACTAAGGAAAGAAATCAAGTAGAAAAAAATATAAGCAAGGACCATCTTCAACTATACATATGCAAATGGAATCACTTTATTTTAAGATAAATATTAAATCTATTTCATGGTATTTTCATGTTATCTGTCTTTTTTCGCCATTATATGAAAATTAGGTGTTTATATATTTCTTATTTTGATAGAAATGTAAAACAAGAGAGCAAATCTCAGAATTCCCCTGAGAGAGAGTCAACAGGAGCCAAAGAGAGATCACGAGAAGCTGCAGGGAGCCGGGAGAGATCAAGGGAGCCAGCCATGACAAGGGAGCGATCAAGAGAGCCTGTGGTGATGCGGGAGAGGTCACGTGAACCAACTGCAGGGAAGGACAAGTCACGGGATTCATCATCGACTAGCAAAGAGCGGAATCGCACAGACACTAGTGGGAAGGACCAGGCAGCCAGTGAAGTGGGGGTGAAAGAACGTGGAAGGGAGCCACGTACACCCCGCTCGGAAGCTAAGAACCGCGCAGCCAAGGGGGAGGCAGTGGAGGTAAAGACTCGTTCCAGCGCTAAGGAGGAGAGGCAAGAAGCTACCCCAGAGGTCAAGACACGTTCCAGCACGAGGGAGGAGAGGAAGGAAGAGAAAAAAGAAAAGGAAGTCAAAGAGGAGAGTGACAGTGAAGAAGAAGAGATTGAAATGGTATGTCTGATGTTCATTTTGTTATGAATTAAGATCTGTACAAGGGCAGATAGAAGAAGTGATATTTACAGCTGATAATGTAAATGCATGCAGCTTTTTTGTTCATGTTTATTACAGGTGAGAACAAGTTCCAAGGAAAGTATGCTTTATTTTACTTGTTTTTTGCATCATTATTATTATTTTTTATTTTTTTATTTATTTATTTTTTATTTTTTATTTTTTTATTATCTTCAATCTCAAGTCTAATTTATACAAATTTGCTTTAAAAAGTAAACTATGAATACATTTAAAACACACATAAAGGAACACAAACATCTCTGTTGTATAAAAGAGGAAAATGTACAAATTCAGATGCATATGTGTATTGCCAGAATTACTGCTTCACACTCACTGTGTCCCATTCATAAGAGAATAGAGACGGCGAACATGATTGTATGGTTGGCTCAGAGTGGGGAGAGCCTACAAGGGTAATTAGGGTATGGGTGTGATATAGGTTTGGCTGAAGAAATCGTGTCATTCAGTTCAAGATATATAAGGTATAAACTACAGATGTTTCAATAACAACAGAAGACTGTGGGATAATGTAAAGGGTATTTTCTCTTTGTAGGCTCAAACAAGATCCTCCAGGCATCGGGAGGAGAGCCGTGAGAAGGATGAATCAACCAAGAAGACAGCCACCCCAACCCGTAAAACCAAGAATGAGAGAGCGGCCATGGCCCTCATCTGTGTGAAGACTGAGGATGATACAGAGGGTGATGATGAAACGGCCTCTTCGTCCTCGACTACACCAACCCCAGTCAGCTCAACACACTCGGGGGCCTCTGTAACAGCAAGCCCTGCCAGTGAGAAAAAAGCAAACAAAAGCAAGAGCAAAGGTCAGAAGGCAGTGGCAGTTCCAACAGCAGCACCAATCACAGCAGAAGACTCTCCTGGGGCCAAGAAGAGAGGACGCAAGAAGAAGAATGAAGGAGAAGTGGAGCCACCTATGTGAGTTGCTCAATCCCTTTTTTGTGTTATTTTTGTAAAATTGCATAATATATTGATCCAAACTTGGTATATATACTACTTCCTTGTCTTCCTCTCATGCCTTACTGTGTTCCAACTTTGTCATCTCATTTTTACTCTCATTGCTTTGGTGTCTATCTGCCTCTCCTGTTTTGTAATTTTCCTGGTCTGACAATCCCTTCCCTTTCTCTCTTTACCTTCTCTCTTGATTTTCTATTTTTTCCACCTCTCTATCTCACTCATTCCTCAGTTTTTTCTCTCCTCATCCTCTTCCCTCCCTGCATAAGTTTGTGACAGCCTGTGAAGTCAACTTTGGCTGCAGGATTGACCGATCAAACTCTCTCCCCTCCAGGGGCAAGGCCCTTCTCCCAGCTCATGTCCCTGTTAGTGTTGGAGACAAATTGCGTGTGCTATATGGACCCAATGCCAAAGAATCAAAAGTGACTTATGAAGCTAAGGTCAGGAAAGGGAATATTTTTCCTTTTGTCTTGGATTGGAGATATTGATGTTATATGTATTCTGTATCTTTATCTAGTTATGTATGTCAAAGTATTTCAGTGTATTTTTCTTAACCCAATGGCGCCGGGTGTACAAAACAAAAAAAAAACTCTACGCTTAAACAAACAAAGGCGACTTTGAGGGCGTTAGTAGGGGACATCAGCCCGAATCACTGGCTCGCCGCGCTTTGGCGCGCCGCCGGCTCGTTCGGCAGTATGCCAGCTTTCGAGCGCTTTGTTTACACGCCGATCAGTGTCACCCGGCACCAAGGGGTTAATATTACTATGTATCATTACTAATTAAAAATGTGCAATTTGAGCAGGTGCTAGAAGTTGAAGAGGAAGGAAATGCGCCCATGTACTACGTTCATTACCTAGGCTGGAACAACAGGTATGATGAGTGGATACGGAGGCCTTGCATTGCAGAGAATCTCACATGGTCCCAGAATCGGGTAAGGAAGGGCAGAGCTGCAGCAACTAAGGAGTTGAAAGAGAAGAAAGAGAAGGAAAAGGAAGTAAAAGACACCAAGGACACAAAGGAAACCAAAAAGGAAGAAAAGGAACAGGTGAAAGTTGCAAATCTGGCCATGTTATGTGGTATTCTTTTGAGTCTTTATCTTCGTTTTGTCAGATTGACAGTGTGAAGTCAATATCCACTGTAGATTAAAAGATATATTTATATTATTTCTTGCTCCACTTTCCTTGACTTTTTTTTTCCTTATTTTTCTTCAAAGGTCTCAACAGCCTCCAGTGGCAGTTCCAACAGCAGCACCAATCACAGCAGAAGACTCTCCTGGGGCCAAGAAGAGAGGACGCAAGAAGAAGAATGAAGGAGAAGTGGAGCCACCTATGTGAGTTGCTCAATCCCTTTTTTGTTATTTTTGTAAAATTGCATAATATATTGATCCAAACTTGGTATATATACTACTTCCTTGTCTTCCTCTCATGCCTTACTGTGTTCCAACTTTCTTGTCATCTCATTTTTACTCTCATTGCTTTGGTGTCTATCTGCCTCTCCTGTTTTGTAATTTTCCTGGTCTGACAATCCCTTCCCTTTCTCTCTTTACCTTCTCTCTTGATTTTCTATTTTTTCCACCTCTCTATCTCACTCATTCCTCAGTTTTTTCTCTCCTCATCCTCTTCCCTCCTGCATAAGTTTGTGACAGCCTGTGAAGTCAACTTTGCTGCAGGATTGACCGATCAAACTCTTCTCCCCTCCAGGGCAAGGCCCTTCTCCCAGCTCATGTCCCTGTTAGTGTTGGAGACAAATTGCGTGTGCTATATGGACCCAATGCCAAAGAATCAAAAGTGACTTATGAAGCTAAGGTCAGGAAAGGGAATATTTTTCCTTTTGTCTTGGATTGGAGATATTGATGTTATATGTATTCTGTATCTTTATCTAGTTATGTATGTCAAAGTATTTCAGTGTATTTTTCTTAACCCAATGGCGCCGGGTGTACAAAACAAAAAAAAACTCTACGCTTAAACAAACAAGGCGACTTTGAGGGCGTTAGTAGGGGACATCAGCCCGAATCACTGGCTCGCCGCGCTTTGGCGCGCCGCCGGCTCGTTCGGCAGTACGCCAGCTTTCGAGCGCTTTGTTTACACGCCGATCGGTGTCACCCGGCACCAAGGGGTTAATATTACTATGTATCATTACTAATTAAAAATGTGCAATTTGAGCAGGTGCTAGAAGTTGAAGAGGAAGGAAATGCGCCCATGTACTACGTTCATTACCTAGGCTGGAACAACAGGTATGATGAGTGGATACGGAGGCCTTGCATTGCAGAGAATCTCACATGGTCCCAGAATCGGTAAGGAAGGGCAGAGCTGCAGCAACTAAGGAGTTGAAAGAGAAGAAAGAGAAGGAAAAGGAAGTAAAGACACCAAGGACACAAAGGAAACCAAAAAGGAAGAAAAGGAACAGGTGAAAGTTGCAAATCTGGCCATGTTATGTGGTATTCTTTTGAGTCTTTATCTTCGTTTTGTCAGATTGACAGTGTGAAGTCAATATCCACTGTAGATTAAAAGATATATTTATATTATTTCTTGCTCCACTTTCCTTGACTTTTTTTTTCCTTATTTTTCTTCAAAGGTCTCAACAGCCTCCTCACCAAAGACAAGTGCTACCAAGCGTGGCCGCCCCCCTGGTGGAATGCGTGAGCGGCGTGAAAGTGACCGTAGTGAGCGGAGTGACACCAGTGGCACAAGCAGTGTCTCAGGCCCTAGCACAAGAGCAGCGCGTGAGAGGCAAGTGCAGCAACCAGATAGTCCATCACCCAGTGAGCAGAGGCGGCCACGCCGCATTGGAGGAGGAATAGGAGGAGGAGGAAGCACACTTGGTATGTTCTAACCTTGGGATGTTAGGGAATATTGTCTGTAAATTATGACTTTAAGCATAATATCGGTACTAAAAATATCAGTACTAGTATGATAGATGTACTTTTCTTGATTGAATCTCTTTCCTTTCATGATTACATTTTTAACTGTTTTCATTCTTGAATACTTATACTGCACTGAAGCATTTTTAGGTCAGTGCAAATATTCCATAATACTAATGTTGAGCCTCACAGTAATTAGAGACAGAAATGGTTATATCTATTGCATGTATTGCACAAAGCTTTGTTTATGTAGAAAAGTCTAGCACTTAATTTTTCAAATTTGAGGTGTATTAAATAATGGAATATATTATTCCAGACACAACAGAAAGTGATAGCGAGGAGTATGAATCTGATGCTGACACTGGCTCTGAAAAGTCCCGCACCAGATCAAGCACAGAAAAGGCTCCAGCCACTGCTTCTATATCTGCTTTGTCTACTCCTGTGTCTGAACCTTCTACTACTGTGAGTACTGTGTCTGAAAAGACTGTAAAAGAGACACCAACAAAGGTGCAAGTGGTAGAGGTAAAGGAAGAGAAGGTGGAGCAGGAGCCATGTGGGAAGGACATTGATCTGAATGCCATTATATCTGAGATGAAGGGTTTGGATAAACCAATAAAGAAGGAAGAGGACCGTGTAGTTGTGAAGGATACAGCTCCTAGAATACTATCTCCAGTGATGCAGACATCCTTCACCACGCCTGAGAAAAAGACTCCTGAGTTGCAAGCCAAGAAAGTCCTAGAGATTACCCCTAAAAAAGCAGTTCCAGAATCTCCAGGGAAAAACATCACCCAAGACCCCATGAAACTACTCTCTCCAAAAGCTGAGTCTTTGGAAGATGATGTGTATGAATTCAAAGAGCCAGAGCCTTTTGATTTTGGAGAGATTCGTGCTAGGAAGGACACACGAACCAAAGCAAGCATGGGGGCCCTAGCATCAGATGAAGCTGAGGCAGACACCAAAGTCAAGAAGAAGGGTCGACCGAGAAAGGATGCGAAGGAGGGAGAGGGTGACAAGACTGAGTCTGACAGTGATACTGCCCCAAGCCCTCAGAAGAGAATAATGCTTCCCAGGGAGGCCAGAGAGTCACCTGTCAAGTGGCCAATTGGTGATTTGAAGGAGGTGGCTCCCCAGCCAGAAGTCAGTACAACACCAGAGAAAAAAGAAGCAGTTGCAGTAACCACTATTATTTCCCCTGTTCGTAAGGTCTTGATCAAAAGAGAGACACCAGTCAAGAACGAACAGGCCACAGTTCAGCCCACAGAAGTCAAGGTGAGCAAGCAAGAATCGCCAAAGTGTCCATCTCCAAAGCAGAATCAGCAGGAAATCCCGGCACCAAGTTTGCCAATGAAAGAACCAGTAAGAATCAATGTCACACAAATAAAAGCCAAGCCGGTGAATACCAGCGACAGAGGCATAGCTATCCCCAAGCCAAGTGGACCTACATCTCACTTACTTGCTCAAGCTGTAATGCCTGTAATTGAATCTAAAGCTCTTGCTAAGCCTGTTCCTAAGCCAACATTTGATGCCAAAGTGGATAAACCTCCACCTTCTGTCAAGTCTGAAGACAAAGTTGAGGCCAAGGTTATTCCCTTTTCCCAGAGACAGCAACATATATTCCCACATCTCTTGAACCGGCCAGAGACCAGTGATAAGGCAAAGGATGTACCACAACGAATTACAGCTTCTGCCATCCAGTCACCACCAAGGGATTCTACACCAGTGCTGGAATCTACATCTTTAAGCCAGAGTGGGTCAGATGTGGAGAGAATCAAGAGGGAATCCTCAGTGGAGGAGACCATAGAAGCAGTCATCAAGCGAGCCCGACAAGACAAGCCAGAAGCAAAGGAAGATGATGATAAATCAGAAGGGAAGGCAAGTCCAGACAAGAAGCGTAGAACGTCAGGGAGAGGAAAGAAGGTTTTGAGCCGTGAGTTCCTCCCAGACACATCTGAGGAATCAGACTCTGATGGTAGGCTCTCCAGACCTGAGACAGAGAGAAGGACACGAAGACCCAGGCTGGTTGTAGATGGAGAGCATGCCATGATCAAGCGGGCACAGAGACTGGTGTCTGACACAGAAAAGAAAAGTGGCCGGAGAAGAGAGGCAGAAGTATGTGATGATGATGATGACGAGGGGGATGATGAGGGGGATGATGAGGAAGAGGATGAAGATGATGAAGAGGATGAGGATGAAGAGACAGAGAAGGGAACAGTCCCACAGCCTGCAAGCCTAAGTAAGGGGAAACTCTCAAGAAGACTGGATGTTGAAGACCAGAAGGAAGGGGAAGAGGCAGAGGTGGAAGGTGTCCGCCACATCAGGAAAAAGCCTCGTGCCTCAGCATCAGCCACACCCAAAAGGTATGAGGAAGAGGGCCTGGGTGACCTCCTTTGTGAGGAAACTATCCCACCTGGGAGTCCCATGACCCATGATGCCATCACGTCAGAGGCTGAGCTTCCCCAGCGGCCAGATATGAAGCATGAGATGCCTTTTGCCAGTGTACCCACTGGAAGCAGTTTCGGGAAGAGAGGGCCTGTGCC